TCCCCAAGGGACCTGTCCACAATCGAAGAAAGATAGATTCACTTGCATTGCCATTTCGGAGAATGTATCCGACCGATAAATGGGCTAAGTGGGTTTCTTCAAGAATCAGATGACGAGCAGACTTTTTTTTTTTTTTTGGCTTCTTCTATTGATGATTGTTACAACAAAGCAGCGGGCCTATGGGTGAGGTACAGAAGGCATGCTCACACTTGCACTTCGGAGAACGCATGCAACTGCATTCACGTCCCCAGCACTTCTGCTCTTCCCCCCCCCTCCCCACTTTCTCTGGTCCCCCTAGCCTCGGCCCGTCCTGCTACTGGTACTGCCAGGCTAGGCAGGCTCGGCATACCGGTCGCCGGAGGGTCGGGCTGCATAGCTGGGCGAGGTACCGGTGGTTTAACTTGAGTACCTTTCCCATATATCGACCGTGGGCAGAAAAAAAGGCCCGGACGCAAAATGGGACACCGATGAAATTTATCTACGGCGGTTAGATCCTGCTTGGACTCCACTTAACCCGGCACGGAATTGATTTTCAAGCAGGGGAAGGTACTGGCGGTTTGAGTCAAGTCGGTGGAGCACAAGCCTTATTGTATATTTGGCGGGCCTGGTGTTCCTTCCTTTTCTTCTGCTAATTGAGACTGTATCTCTCCATGCTCTGTGAGTGGAAACAAATGCGTACGTGGCACTTGGTCTGCGACCCGCGGCAAAAAAGAACGACCTCAAAACAGAATAAGGCACCCTTCCCTGCCCCTAAGAAGAAGGCAGTATTTTCTCTTTCTTTTTTTGTCATGTCCGCTGGGCCGTAGATCAACAACCATGCCCTGATTGCCAACAAAGCGCTTTGCCTCCAGACTGTCATAAGGACCACTCCATGCCTACTATCCGGGGGTGCACTGCGAGTATTAACATCCATGCCTCTTTTGTACAAGGCAGATTGACATGCCAGCTTGGTGCTGGCGTTTTATTTTTGGATGGCGCCGCCATCCGTTGTGGTCCGGTTGCCCTCAGGCTCTATTTTTTTCGGAGTGACTCAATCGTGATTTTCAAGTTGGTTGGGCCCATGTACTGGTGCTCGAAACCACCAGTCCGCACAAGCCTGCGTCAATGAAGCTACCTTCCAAGGCTCATGAGCCTGGAACTGCGCCTTTGCAAAGGGGCCTGCTGCTTTCCCTACCGGCCCAGGCCTGAATCAAAATGCTCTTACCATGTAACATGCTCTTACCGCATAAACCATAAAACCGTAAGAGCAGTACTCTGCTTTGTGTGAACTGGCGGCTTAAACCACCAGTAGCCCGTTAACAAGCCACTATGTTAGGAAATGTACACGCCAGTACTACAGGAGCGCCCAAATTCATCCGACTAGAAACGTTTCTACTCTATTTTTTTCCGCGGCCAATAGCTGGGCCAAGTACTGGTGGCTTAAACCATCAGTACCTTTTCCCACTTGAAAAACAAATATGCGGCCGGTTGACGGCCGTAACTTTCGGCAACTACCCGGGCGCCTCTTCGCTGGATATCCATCCAGGCAAAACGGGCCTCTCATGTGACCCCATTTTGCCTGGATGGATATCCAGCGAAACCCCCCCAGAAATCCCGGAAGAGTCATGGCTGCATGTGTCCCTGAAAAAGGTAGCTTGGAAAAGTTACTGTCCCTGTTTTTTTTTTTTTTTTTGGTAAGGCCCTTGTGCAAGGCCTCTATCCTGGTGGTGGTAAGAGAACCGCCGGGATTGAGGCTTTGCCTAGTGGGCCGCTCCATCTATTGGTGGGGAGCAGCACCTGCTGGAAACCGGGTCCAGCATCCCAAAATTACATCATTGCCATGCAGTACATCAATGAGAGTGACGCCACGGTGCTGGAAAACGGGTCCAGCGTCCCATCCCCACACAGACTGCGGCAGGGTCGGGTATTGGGGGGGGCCACCGGTGGAGTCCCCCTCCATCCCCTAGCTTCTGCCATCCACCCGCTATCCTCGTGGCGCCCTATTTAGGCTGAAATTAGCTGAGGACCTTTTGAGAGATACAGTGATACAGAAGAATGCAGAAGGATACTGAAGAGTGTTGAGCATTTCTGAGAATTGTGTGGGAGGCCACACCTGCTGGGAACCGGGCCCAGCGTCCCAAGACTACCTCTGTGCCAAACAGCGCCCTCCCCTAAATCCTGCGCTCCACCTGCTGAGGACCGGGCCCAGCGTCCCATGAATACGTCAGTGTGGTCAACTAAATCCCTTTGGAGAGGTACTGAAGGGCCTGAGTTTTCTGAGGATTGTGTGGGTAGCCGCACCTGCTGGGAACCGGGCCCAGCGTCCCATAAATACGTTTGTACAGGACGGTGCTCCCCCTACCCCGTTTTTTGTAGAAGCTTCGTCTATTGGTGAGGAGAACCACCTGCTGGAAACGGGGTCCTGCGTCAAGTAAGGGAGGGATTGGGACTGGTGTATCATATACGAAGCTCCAGGGCCAAGGGGTGCGGGGGAAAGGGGTCCGGGAACTCTTCTGCCGGTCTTAGGGGAATCCCGGGATCGATGTGCATCCAGTTCTTAAAGTGCAGGCGGTAGTCACGGGAGACGTTCCTTGCCTTGCTACCCACGACGTTCCTCACCCCGCTACCTTCATCATCTCCTCCCGGCCATCTCACCTCTGCCACCCAGCCCCCTTGTACCCCACCCAGCCAATCCTTAGAGAATCCTGCAATTCGTTCCAAAATGTCCTTTTTTTCATGCAGCGATTCGAAGGTCCTTTTGGTTGCTTCCCACTGCCTCAGGAGTTCTAGCTGGAAATGTTGTTTAAGGTGTTCCCGTCCCTCCTCCCTTCCCACGTGCACGTGGTCAAGTACCAGGGCACAGCGCTGCCACCATATCGTCCAGAGCACAGCGCGCCTGCCCAGGTGAAACATGTTACTCACGTATGTGTCGCCTTGGAGCTCCGGGTAGTGTCCCAGTAGGAGGGCTCTCCAGTCCCACGGCCACAGGATTCCGGGGACCATTTGTCTCCAGATCCTGTCCCACCACCTCCACATGAGGGTTGCAGATGGGCATTGGAGGAAAACATGTTCGATCGTCTCTGCTCTTTTCCGTGAGGGAAAGTTTCCACTGCAGCGTGCGCACCACGGGAGGATTTTGCCCTGTTGCTCCAGGTGCGAATGGTCTACCAGCCAGTTATTCGTCGGTAGGCAGCGGTGTACTATCTGCCACTGGAGCGAGGTGATTTTGGCAGGCTTAGTTTTGAAGCTATAGAACCAACGTATGGGGGTCAGAAGCCGCCTGTCTATATTCAGATGCCTTTGCCATCTCTGTCCCTGAAAAAGGTAGCTTGGAAAAGTTACTGTCCCTGAAAATGGTAGCTCGGAAAAGTTACTGTCCCTGAAGAAGGTAGCTTGGAAAAGTTACTGTCCCTGAAAAATGGTAGCTTGGAAAAGTTACTGTCCCCGAAAAAGGTAGCTTGGAAAAGTTACTGTTACTGTCGGTTCAAAATGGGGGGGTTACAATCAGTAACTGTCAAACATGGGAAATGACAGACCCCCTCAACCCAGTTCAGCTAGGTCGTCTGTTAGTGAACTGTCTGGCACCCCCTGCCTGTTCCGCTGCTCCCTCCCCTCATCAGTTTCAGTTATATGCTATTATTGCCCCTTCTAATTTGGAACGGGGCTCCTTGGTCCTTGCTACGGGAACTGTGGCATTGTGGTACGTTGCTGTGATGCCCGAAGAATGTGTGCTCGCAGGATCGCCTGTCCCACAGACACATGGCATGACGGATCTGTGTCCTTACCGGCCACCACACAACTAAACCGGATTGCGTGGCTACTGGGCTCTTAGCCACGACGGTCAAGTGTAGTATGAGCTAAGCCCGCGCTAAGCGGATTCGGGGAGAACTAAAAAAAGGTCGCGAGCGGGATAGGCCTGCGGGAATAAATCCGGTAAATGTCAAAGGTGTCAAAGGTTTCCAAGCAAAGGCCTGCCTGCGGGAAGAGGAAAGGGATGCCGGAAGAACGGAGGTAGTGGCGGGGTCGGGTGATGAGCTACCGTTGTACCGGCAGGTACAATGCAAGGGGCACCTGTGTGTCCAAACAACCGTTGTGCTGCTTGTGGATGAGGGCAATACGTGGAAGCAACCGTGACGAGGAGCGACGACGCGATCCCACATCTAAATTCAAATTGGCCCCAAGAGCACGGCCGACGTCGCGACCTGGAAACATGAGCAGGTCCGACTATGTGACATGGAATCATGAGCAGCTTATCGCAACACGGAAGCGTGAGCACCTCTCACATCGCGACAAGGGGGAATGCGATCCGGACATAGCGACATCGGTGCATCGGATCACATACATCCATACTCCAACACGCACGCACGCAC